CTTTGAGAGAATAACACTAAGTAGGTGACAGACTTCAGTCAGAGACGTTCAGTTCTACTGAACTGAAGCATAAAAGAACACCAAAAAAAGCCCAGAAATGAATCTTAATGTACGCTTATTGGAGGAAGTGAAGGAAGGACTCCAAATGTTTTACAGGATTTACAGGTTCCATGGCTTCATTAGCACATTGACTCACAGGTCCCACATGGTGATCTGTCTTGTTTGGGATTTATTAGAAGGTGGCTACATCTTGGTTTCACTCCCTGCTGATTGGTTTGCTGAGATTTCAGCTCATCATTTCTCTGCCTCGTTGCTATCTGTTAGGTAATGCTGAAGAATAATGAATCACATTGATCTTTTTCTTATCCAAAAATATATATGAGTTTGGATTTACTGGAGTAACAGAGAATTTGTTCACGTAAACCTCAATTTCATGGTTTTTTCACAGCAGGTTAGAAAAATAACTGTATATTTGATTTATGGCTCTCCCTTATCTCCAGTATTTAATTTCTCATAATAAGAGAGATAAGAACTGTATTTGAATGCAGATCACAGAGGTTTCTGAGTACAGCCTGAAAACCTTAAGCACCAGAGCTTTCATTCTAGAGGCTCAATTTCAGTCTCTGCTTTATCTTAATCTCTTTATTCAAAATCTTTCATAGATGTTGACATATGCCTATCTGTCTACAATTCTTTCAGGAAGAACTAACATTTGAACATTTGAGCTACTGGAATCCTGGCTGTTTCAGAGAGGAGATTGTATGCCATTACATGTTTGCCATTTACGTAATGCAAAACCAGGTCTATACTGACTCAAAAGCATTCTATGCTGACTACTTATTGGACATCTGTGTATCTCATATTTCTCTGATAAGATAAAATTCCACTGATAAAATAAAATCTTACTGTATTTTGCATATAACAAGCAGATAATAAGACAGAGGTAATGCAAATACAAGAAGTTATCACCAGGCAAGCCAAGCAGTGGATTTACAGTACCGTGGGGACAATTTTGCGTAGTTGGAATGCACATAGTTTGAACCCTCTTTTAAATGTGAGATAACTTACCCTTCTCTTCCAGATGACTGAACTGTCTCTATGGATAGGCATATGCACACATGCAATTCCTATGGAAAAGCTGACATTGTAAATTTATCCGTGGGTTATCCAGTGCACTGGCACTCTGAATTTTCCATACTGGAACAGTATCAGTTTCCATAACAGTACACAAATGGAAGTATAAGATGGGATGGGAGGTCTGAGATCATGCTAATCTGTAGTGTACAAACATACATGAGCAATATGAGGTTTAGCAGCATCTCCACAGGTTTACTAGAGTACTTTGCCAAGGAGGTTTGTACACAAAAGTACAAGCTTTCTTTGTCAATCTCTCCTGCTCAATAACTTTGCCACTGCAAAAATATATGGCATTCATTGTGGCAACAAATAGTGTGAAAAATGAGGTGCTATTGGGAAGAATTAATTAAATTATCATGTCTGGCTTAATGTAAAGTCAAAACACGCGCATGGGGACAAAGTAATAAGGGGTATATTAATCCACAGAAATGCAGGAGTTTCCCTTTTGACAGGGAAGGCCTTACATTTCTACCATAGGAAGAAGTCGGTCATTAATGAGAGCATCTTTTGTGCTGAGTGTGTTCCTACACACATAAATACAGTGAATGGTATTAGATAGACTTCAACTGGTGTAATTTAGACTACATCAGATTCATTCAGATCCAAATTACCAGGCGCATAAATTGTTCTTCATTTTAAAATCATTTTTAGGAGCAACTAGATGCAATTTACCTTAATGAAAAAATGCAGTGATAAGGAATAAAATCCATAAAGTGAGAGGGAGTCAGGGCACCTGAGTCCTTCCCAGCACCTTCTCAAGATGAAGTACTGATGATTTTTCCAAACTGTAAGCCTTCCAAAAGGCTTAAGGTGTGCTATTTCTTTTATACCCAAACAGGCAGCTAGGGAAGAGTCTCCAAGTATTCAGAGTTAAGGAATTGGGCATAAAATCAGAGTTC